GGAAGGAAGGAGGAAAGGAAAGAAGGAAAGGGAGGGAGGGAGGGAGGAAGGAGGAAAGGAAAGAAGGAAAGGGAGGGAGGGAGGAGGAAAGGAAGGAAGGAAAGGGAGGGGGGAGGGAGGAGGAAAGAAAGGAAGGGAAGGAAGAAGGAGGAAAGGAAAGAAGGAAAGGGAGGGAGGGAGAGAGGCCAGACAGCCCTTTTTAAGAGTTCCAAAATGTCTCCTCCTCCTCCAAGGAGAGCTTCTCCCAGACAGCAGGCCCTGCTCGAGCTGCTCCCTGCTCCTCAGGCCTTCCTGGCCTCAAAAAAGCCCTGCATGGATAGACTGGGGAGCCCCTGGCTAGGAAACCCCCAGCCCATTTGAGATCGGGGGGCAGAGGGAGAATCCCACCCGCAAGACCAGCAGTTGTAGCCTTATGTGGGCTGGGTGTGGGGGAGCCCTATTTAACCAGGGAAAGAGGCCACACGCTGCTGCTCACAGGATAGCTGAAACGGAGTTCACGCTCTGAGGGAGGCCCTTAGAGGCTCCGGCCTGAATTGGAGAGTCGCTTGTTCCTCAGGATAGAAGAGACTGAAGGTGTGTTGTTAGTGCCGGGGGCCGGCATGGAAGCCCCTCTCTTAGCTGGGACCCACCCGTGTCTCCTCTCTGCCCCTCCCCATGGCCAGATCGTTACGTCTCCCGGGAAAAGGAACCGTTCCTTGCCGTCTGTCTCTTCCAACCGCCTGGATCCCCAAAGCGCAACTGCACGGCCTCCAAGGAGATCTCTCTGGAGGACATGAAGGAGGGGCCACAGGGAGACCCACGGCGCTACACCATCTTTGTTCCCCCAGGGTGAGTGGGACCTCTGGGGCCAAAGGGGGGGGGAAATCTGGTTCCCAGGGAGGAAATGAGGTAGGGGGCACCTTTAGTGGTGCACTTTTCTAGTGCTGGGAGGTCATCGATGGCCAACGCGGGGGATGCCTGGAAGCAAAAGACTGGTGGACAAGGAAGCTTTCTGCCCACCACAGCCCGCCTGCTGGAGAAGTGGGCGCAAGTGAGCCCCACGGCCACCAGCAGGACCGGCTGGCCAAGCAAGACGTTGGCCTCCTGCCTCCCCCCCTCCCAGTCACATTTTCCCTCCCTGGTTTAGGACTGCAGACACAGTGAAGGAACATCACTTGAACATCACCAACCATTTCGTGTGGTCCCCTGTGGAGGTGACTCTGGGTCTGTACAGCTCCCTGTGCCAGTATTTCAACGAGGAAGAGGCCCGTTGGAAGACGGAGGGCATGGCTCCCTTGGAGGGGGCCACCCCGCAGAAGGCCATGTGCTTAACCCAGCACCTGACTGCTTTTGGGGCGAGCCTCTTCGTCCCCTCGCACTCGGTGCAGTTCATCAAGCCGGTGAGTTCAGCCGTGGAGCTTTGATGGATGCTGTTGGTGTTACGCGCCGCTTCTGTTTTTAATTTGTTGTACCTTGGCGGTGGCTGTTGTTATTTTTGGGTGAAAGAAGCTCCCTTCTCCTCTTGCCGGTGGAATGGGGGACACAGCCACAAATGGGAAGGTGAAATTTCTCCATCTGGTCATGTCAGCAGAAACAGCTTAGGGGCCAGGCCTATAAGTACGGTGGCCATCTGTCTTGATTGCAAAAGACAGCCCTTTATTTCAGAAAGCTGCCTTTTAAATTTCTTTATTTTTATTTGTCCTGCATTTCGATCACTTAACTTTTAACCACAGAAATAGTGCTACTTAATGCACGTTTTTTTGCATTCGTGCGAAAAAGATGGAAATTGAATTGTTTTTAAAATAAATTTACATATATTGTTTGATTTTAGATATTTCTATCAGAATATGCTTCTTGTAGAAGGTTTTTTTTGTTTTGCTCGTGAATTTTCCTTTCTAAAACAAATTATAAACATTTTTAAATTTATTTTTTTTTATCCTTATGAACTTCTTTCACATTTGCCCCTTTGTTAGGTTGGTCCTTTATTTCCTCCCCAGAAAATATGGTCACTGGGTGCTATAAGATAATTAAATATTAACCCAAAAGCAGCACCATTGGGGAGCAGCAGCATCTTCCCTTATTCGCAAAGCTTTGCATGAAGACCTGGACTTTCACAGCTCTTGGGATGCCTGGCAAGGCCAGGGAGAGGCCATCATGGCTTGCGGATGGCATTCCTTTGGAGGTGGGACCCTCAACCACTGCTTTGTGGCCTTTGGCCCACTGAAGGGGGTCTTTCCTCCTTTCATTGATGTCCTTAAGCAGCTTCGGTGGCTGGCCCGGTGGGCAAGGAAGGTCTTTCATTGCTATTTGGAAGAGCTTTTTTTGTGCAAACTGCTGCGCCCTCCCCATGCCTTGACTTTCTGTTTCTTTCAAGAGTTGCTTCTTTCAAGGCCTGCTTCTCCCCGATTGTGGGGATGTTTGGAACCCCACAAATCTCAGCTGTCGAGGAGCAAGGAGTGTGCAAATGCCCGTCCTGTCCAAGCTCCCTTCTATAACATTTCAGCCCAAACTCCTCCAGATCCTCTGAATGGATTACTTTTGTGCACCGTCAGGCTCCAAAGAAATTGTCTCTTCTTTTATTTTAGCTTTGTGGCTTTTCTTTGGAGCCTGCCATTTTGTTGGGAGGGGGGAGCTTTTGGGAATGCTTTGCACTGTCTGCTTCGTTGCCCTTCCCCCCCCCAGGGGGGTGGAATGTCCCACCCTTATCTGAGAGGCGGTTTGTGCTTGGAGCCAGAAGAAATCGAAAATGAGAAAGACCTTGAGGAGCCCCCCCCCGAAAAGACCGGTTATCAAAACACGATGCCACCAGTGGATTGGCTGGGATTCAAATGAACACTGGGACTCTGGGGGGGAGGAGTATTGAATGCTACTTTTAACATATCGCTTTGCTGGTTTTTCTCTCAGATCTCGCCTTGATTCCCTGCTGTCGCTAGCCCCTAATAAAAGTTCCTTTTGAGACAATGCCTGTTTCAAGAGTTCTGCTTTCTTGGGGGGCTTGGCTGAGGTAGATCCTTACAAGCACTCGAAGACGTTACAAGGGTCCTCTGCATCCCCCACTCCCTTTACCGTCCCTCCTCCTCCCTGTTGCCAGAGTAGTCCTTGCCTTACGACCACAATTGAGCCCAAACTTTCTGTTGCGAAGTGAAACAGGTGAATTTTGCCCCATTTAATGACCTTTCTTGCCACAGTTGTTAACTGAATCACTGCAGTTGATAAGTTAGTAACATAGTTGTACTAGAATCTGGCTTCCCCATTGACTTTGCTTGTTAGAAGGTTGCAAAATGTGGTCACGTGACCCTTGGACGCTGCAACAGTCATAAATATGAGTTGCCAAGCGTCAGAATTTTGATCACATGACCATTGGGATGCAACAGTCGTAAGTGTGAAAAATGATCATATATCACTTTTTTCACTGCCATTGTAACTTTGAATGGTCACTAAATGAACTGTTGTAAGTCGAGGATTATCTGTATTCCTCACCCCACATTCTGCAACCTCTTTTCTAGGCTGAATATGCCCTTCCTTTGGAGGGCTCTCTATACTTCCAGCCGTAATGCATTGCTCTCTAAGGCGAAGGTTTAATCTTCCCCCCCCTCCCCCCCGTTTCCTGAGCTGGAGCAAAGCCCATTTCTAGGTCTTCTCTTTTGGACCCTTCCATTCCTAGCCAGATGGCACAGAAGCAGCCAGAATGATTCTTTCACCCTTTGAATATTTTGATGATGTCCAATAAATTTATTGTTAATTTCCCCCCCCCCAATAGATAATATGAATATTGGGCACATACACAGATACACAAAAGCCCAGTGTCCAGATTATCAATATGGAGGAAATTAACAATACATTATTGGACATCCTGAAAATATTCAAAGTATACAATAGTACATTGTACAATTAAATTGTTCCTTTTTTAAAAAAATGGTGGTAATATACGTAGGTTCCTGGGTAGATGTCCTCAGATCTGTTACTGCCAAAATTCATCTGAAATGTGGATTAAGCGCTGACTGAAAGTCGAACTGGTAAGTAGCAGGAAGTCACCGTTCTCTGAAGTGCGCGCTTACCTTTCTTTCAGCCTCCAGGCCCCGGGCTCAACTACATCGTTCTGCTGACTTGTGCTGTCTGTCTGGTGACCTACTCCATGGCAGCTGTGATTGTGCACAAATTGGATCTGATCGACATCGGCCGTGTGGGGTCGATCCCCTTCTGTGGGAAGAATGGGCTGTACCAGTATGAAATCTTGGTGAAGACAGGCTGGGGCAAAGGGTCAGGTTAGTATCTGTGACCCTCTGATCAACCGCTGGGTTAAGCCTTGAGAAACGCAGATCAGCCCTCCTTGCAAATGAGGCCGGATTCCTTCCCATATCACGGGAGGGAGGGTTACCCTGGAGCCCCCTTCTCTGCCCAGCCCTTGGGGGCAGGGTTGTCTTTTTCTTAAAACCATAAAGTGGTTTGCCAATTTATATTTATTAATAATATGTACAAACTCAAGCAAAAAAATGACAAAATCACTGGAGAGGCTGAGCATACAGAGTGGGGCAGCTGTGGGGGGAAGATGTCAAGACCGTGTGTCTGCATGATTGAAGCCCTGCCTCTTTTTTACCTGGCTAACCCCAAAGAGAATGTTAAAATGCCACTCCCCAATGGAGCCCAGTTGGCACATCCCTCCCAAAGGCTTTTGACATTTATTTTGTGTTTTTGCAATACCACCACTCTCAACCAGATGCCCCAGTCCAATCAGAGACTGATAAGGACTTAGGAGATGCTTTTGTAAACAGCCACCTACTACAGTAAGTTATTGGTACTTCCTTGCTGACTATGAAGGCAGATTCCCCCTGAATGAATTGGGGGATAAATTAGTAATAATACTGCCACCCAATTCTCAGAAACTCTGGATGGTTTCAAAACTGGTGTCAAAACTGGAAATAGTTTAGTTGTTAAATTTTTTACTCTATCCATCTTAATAAATTTTGTTGAAGAAGAACTTTGAGACTTATGTGTGAAAGAATTACTTTTACTTGCGGCAACTGCCGAAGAGCTTGAGGCAAGTCCTGCTTGACATTGATGGCCTCCAGATTTTCTGGCATATAATGGCCAACCCTCAACTTTGGCCTGGACGGTCTGGAGAAAGCTATAGCTTCAGTCTGACCTATCTGAAGGCAGTGGACTGGAAAAGTCCCTCCTCTCTCTAGCTCTACATCCTGGAGTCCAGTAAGCAAGGGCAGAATGGAGAACATCTGGCAGCTGTTAAAGAACACAGGCATCCTCGGTGGGAAAAACTCCAGAACAAATATCCCTCCCGTTAGAACATTGGCAAGATAATGAATATTGGATCCGGCGCTCCTGTTTGGAGAGGCAACAGTCCCAGGCTCACACAAATGAGGCAGCTGCTGCTCCAATGTGCCTGCAATGTGATCCTGTAAGGGAACTGCCCCATAGAAAAGTAGATTCCTTTTATTTGCCAAAGTAAACAAAAAACAAAAAACTCTGAATTGTCTGGCAAATAATTTTTGCTCAGGAGCAAGTTCCTGGGGAGCAATCCTTACACCTCCTCTTTTCTTAAATTAGCCCAAGTGTCACCAACAGGCTTTGAGACGAGACCCTCCGTCCCAAGATTTAACAGAATAACAAAACAACAAAGTTGGAAGGGACCTTAAAGGTCTTCTAGTCCAACCCCGTGCTCAAGCAGGAGACCCTATCATTTCAGACAAGTGATTGCCCAGTCTCTTCTTAAAAGCTTCCAGTGATGGAGCACCCACAACTTCTGAAGTCAAGCCATTCCACTGGTTGGTTGTCCTCCCTGCCAGGAAGCTTCTCCTTAATTCCTGGTTGCTTCTCTCCTTGATTAGATTCCATCCATTGTTTCTTGACCTGCCTTCTGGCGCTTTGGAGAGAATAGATTTTCCTCCTCTTCTTTGTGGCAGCCCCTCAAATATTGGAACACTGTTATCACGTCACCACTAGTCCTTCTTTTCATTAGACCAGCCGTGCCCAGTTCCTGCAACCGTTCTTCGTATGTTTTAGCCTCCAAGCTCCTAATTATCTTTGTTGCTCTTCTCTGCAGTCTTTCCAGGGTCTCAGCAACTTTTTTATAATATAATATATAATATAATATATATATTATATAATATAATACTGGATGCAGTATTCCAAGTGTGGTATTATCAAGCAGTACTAACACTACACATGATCTTGATTCTGTCCCTCTTTTAATGCAGCCTAGAATTTGCTTCACGCCAGCTTGGGGAAGCATGCCTGGCAAAATCGAAAGCTTATTCATAGTTTTGTAACGTTCTGAAATGATTGTCCCATAGCTGTGGAATGGCTTGTTTTTCTCCTAAATAAACTATGCAGCTGCCAACAGCTGTTGTGATGGGAAATGAGACTTTCTATTGACTTTAGATTTAAGTTGGCAGAAGAAAAACATTAAAAGGTCTGCCGTCTTACATCTGTCAACAACATTTGGGGCTGATGTAAGCTCTTATTTTTGTCTTTTTTTTTTAAAAAAAAGAACTAAACCCTTGCCCGATAGCCTTGTGATATCCAAGGAGAAAACCTCTCATGAGCAAATGGTTGTCCTTGTTCACTGAAGTGCTTTGATGGGTTTCTCTGTAATCCTTAATTACAAAACTAGGCTGTGCGGATTTTGGAAGTTATGGGGAGTCTCGCGGGTGTTTGTATGTAGGTCTTTGGTTATTCGGGTTTTCTCCCGTGTAAAATTGGAAGTGTCTTGGCGACGTTTCGACGAAGTCGAATATATATAATGCAGTTTAAATGTATGGGCACATACATACATTACATCTGCTTCATATAATTTATATTCTTCTCCTAGTGAGGGGATAATTGGAATTGCACCAGCATCTGTTCCACCCTAAAGATGCTGTGCAAATTTACTATCATCCAGGCCACCTCCTGAGATTTTATAAAGCAATCTGTCTGGCCTGTCCCAGCCTGGGCGTTTAGGAAAGAAAGACCCTCGACTCCATTGTGGCGAAACATATACGTTTTACTAAAATCAAGTAATTAACGCATAAGCAGAGCCAGGTCTGAATATTCCCGCGTAAACCCAGTGCTTTTCCCTTCTCCCAGGCCCTCCTCCCTTGGTCACGTTGTTAATGTCCAATGATATTCAAACTAGGTGTTTTGGTAACTGCCCTAAAGTTTGGCGCCTCTTTAGTGGGTGTTTGCATTCCGTTCCCATGCCGGTGTCCTTGGATCTTTCAACTGTTGGCACCTCTGGCTGGCACCTCTGGCTCCTCTCATCTCCCCTCCCTATATTCCCCTCCTCCCCCCTTTTCGTGGCAGAATGCCCTCAAAGTGAAGTAAGGTTGAAGCGGTGTGATGGAAGATCTGACACAATCCTTGACTGCCCTCTCTTCCATTCAGCACTTACTTTCCACTCGGATGAGCAATGAAATGTCTCAGATTAACACATTTTGGTCCCGTAGCTATAATTCAACCTTTAGACACCTTTGGCTTGGATGATTGAGTCTTCACTGACATATGGCAAGCCATTTTGGGGAGAAATCCCTGAAATTGGTTTGGCAAAAGTTGGTACATTCCAACGATTCTCTGCCTAAGTAGTTTTACTCTGACTGATGAAGTTGCCTGGATGAGCAAGATTAACAAAGTTTGGTCCAGTTGCCATGATTCAACCTTTAGACATTACACTGGAATGCTTTGTTGGGATTTAGAAGTGAAAGCTGAGATTCCCATTCTGCTAAATTCTTTGAGACCACCAAGTGACAGAAGTATTGGGCTGGCTGCTCAGCTTTCAACAACTCCAGGGCTGCAGTTTTCACACCTGTTGGGTATTTGAGGGTTTTGTTTGCTTGTGTGTGTGTGTATGTATACATAAATGAATGATATTGACATGAGAAGTATATGAAATAGTTAAGATTTATTTATTATTTCCATCATTTTCTCCATCTGCTTGAAGAACTTTGAACTGAAGTGGTAAAAATCAGGATGATTGCAATATTTTCCATGGTGATGGTTTTGTGATTAGGAGAGCAGAGCCCCAGCTGTGTTCCAGCTGCCAGGCTTCAAATCCTGATTCAAATGGCAGATCAGGGACCCCGCTGTGCTCTGCTAAAGCTCTTCAGGAGATGCTTAGAGAATCGCAATTTAAGCCTGCCTTCCTTCCTTCCTTCCTTCCTTCCTTCCTTCCTTCCTTCCTTCCTTCCTTCCTTCCTTCCTTCCTTCCTTCCTTCCTTCCTTCCTTCCTTCCTTCCAGGGACCACAGCCCATGTGGGGATCACTTTGTATGGGACGGATAGCAAATCTGGGCACAGACATCTGGATGATGAGAATGCCTTTCGCCGCAACAGTCTCGACATCTTCCAGATTGCCACAGAGCGGAACCTGGGCAGGGTGTGGAAGATCCGGATCTGGCATGACAATAAAGGTGAGTAAATGCAACGGGGTGTTGAGGTTAGCTGGGCAGCAACATTACAGAACTTATGATCCACCATGAAATCAAGGGCAAGGAATCTCTGCTTTTCATCGGCCTTTTGAATTTATTATGATGAATGTTTGTCTCCAAGGTGGTGTAGCTTCTCATCTGTCAATATACATGTATTCCTCTGCTTTGCAGACCGCCTTTAATCTTGTCTGCCTCTCCTCCATGTCCCCACATACTCTGCCAAGCCCCTAGAGCAGGGGTAGGCAACCTTGGCTCTTTTATGACTTGTGGACTTCAACTCCCAGAATTCCTGAGCCAGCTAAGCTGACTCAGGAATTCTGGGAGTTGAAGTCCACGAGTCATAAAAGAGCCAAGGGTTGCCTACCCCTGCCCTAGACCAAGTTAACTAAGACAGTGGCTGTGTTTGGGTGTCGCATGATGCTCAAACAAGTCAGCTTATCATATTGACCTGCTTCACACAACTTGCTGAGAAATAGCTGGACTCCCATAGCATGCTGACATTTAGCCCCCTTTTTGCTAAGACTACTGTGCAAATCCAGCATTGGAGTGACTTTTTCCCCTTTGGCTTTTTCCATAAGTTGAAATTCAAAATTTATGTATTATTTATTTATTTATTGTTAAATTTATATGCTGCCTATCTCACTGTTCAAGTGACCCTTACAACAGGAATCCCCAACCCCTTCCCCCCCCAGGCAATGGCCCACTACTGGGCCGCAGCCTGCTCGGAACTGGGCCGTGCAAGAGGCAGGTGAGTTCCTTTTGCTCAAGGAAGCAGGCACGGGTGCCTGATGCTTGTGCAAATAGAGCTGCACGAGCATGCTCACCCACTGCTTGCACAGAACCATCTATCATGATTCCGACATATGAAACCCTTCAAAAGAACTTTGAGGCATTGTTTACCTTAAAGAATCTTTTATTCGGGAAACAAAGTTATCGGCATTACATAGCTGAACTCAAAAACTAAATGCCCCTCCCCTGGATACAAAGTAATAAATTACAATTCCCACCTCCAATAAACAGTCATAAATCACATTCTCCAATTAGCTTGAAGCATGGGCTTCCTTCCCAGCTCTCCAGCCCTGCCAAACGCTATCAGCTCTGGGCCCAATGTCCTTGGATTCCCACGGCTGAGTTATTATTGTTATGACTAGCTGGACTCTCATCCCTATCCCCCCTCCCAGCATCAACTAATTCTAAAGCAAAGAGAAAATGGCTGCATTTTCATCTGTTGTCAAAGCAAGAACATCCGATGTTAGCAGTGTTGACACCATCATCTCTCCTCGCCCCCCCCCCCCCGCCACTGCCGGTATGCAAAGCCGGAAAGGTTGGGGACCGCTGCCTTAGAGCAGGGCTTTTCAACCAGTGGTATGGGTACCACCTGTGGTACATTGGCACCTGGCAGGTGGTACGCAACCATCCTAGAAAAGTGGTAGCGGGGGAGGGGAATGAGCTGAACCGATGGCAGCACTGCACAAGCCTGAGTGATCGGCACTTCTTTGGGGCTGTCAGGGCTCAGTGGAAGCGCTAGGATCAGCGCCAGGCTCCAGCTGAGCCCAGAAGAAGCGCCAGGATCAGCTGGAATGTTGCAGCATCTCCAGGGTCTTGTGATTTACATTCAGATGCTTGGCAACTGATTCATATTTATGACGGTCACAGTGTCCCGGGGTCACGTGAAGTGACCAAAACCTGCTGCAACCACCCAGCAAATGAGGGGAATAAAAACCAAACACCCCCCACCCCACCCCTGCTGTCAATCCTCAACAGAAATGTTCACAACAATGGAAACCTCAGACAGGAGGAAGAGCGCGGCCGGGTGGGCAGGCAGGTGTCTTGCTCGGCTGTGGCTTGGGGGGCACTTTTTTCAGTGCCATTGTAACTTCGAACAGTCACTAAGCGAACTGTTGTAAGTCGAGGACTACCTGTACTTTATCACTTTTTTCCTTTTTTGGGGGGGAGGTCAGTCATCAAGTTTTTGACACCTTGCTAGGTGACTGGTGGTACTTGGATGTTGCCATATCCTAAAAGTGGCACAATGGGTGAAAGGGTTGAAAAGCCCTGCCTTAGAGAACAAGTGAATAGTTCTGGCTTAGCCTAGCTTGACTTGTTAATGCTGCCTGAGGGATAAAGGGAGAATTCCCAGCTTGCAAAGCTGCTCGAGGGGTGGGGGGAGGAGGAGAGGAGGCAGATGTAGTGGCCATTTTCCAAGCATGGTGATAGGAAGAGGACTCAGAAAATGGTCTGGCTAAACCGTCTCTCCTTCTGCCTTCTGCTTTTCAGGACTCAGCCCAGCTTGGTTTCTGCAGCATGTCATTGTCAGGGACTTGCAGATCTACAAGAGCTACCACTTCCTAGTGAATGACTGGCTGTCTGTGGACAGTGTGGAGAATGACGGCCTGGTGGAGAAGGAAGTTTTTGCTGCCAGTGAGTTGGAGAGGAGCCCAGGACCCCCCTTGGAGCCTCTGCTGTGTCACTGCTTGCCCCAGTTGGGGAGCTCCACAGATATGGATGATAGATAGATAGATAGATAGATAGATAGATAGATAGATAGATAGATAGATAGATAGATAGATAGATAGATAGATAGATAGATAGATATAGATATAGATATAGATATGGATGATAGATAGATAGATAGATAGATAGATAGATAGATAGATAGATAGATAGATAGATATAGATATAGATATAGATATAGATATAGATATAGATATAGATATAGATATGGATGATAGATAGATAGATAGATAGATAGATAGATAGATAGATAGATAGATAGATAGATAGATAGATAGATAGATAGATATAGATATGGATGATAGATAGATATGGATGATAGATAGATAGATAGATAGATAGATAGATAGATAGATAGATAGATAGATAGATAGATAGATAGATAGATAGATAGATAGGAGAGAGAGAGAGAGAGAGAGAGAGAGAGAGAGAGAGAGAGAGAGAGAGAGAGAGAGAGAGAGGTATAGATGGATGGATGGAGAGATGGATGGATGAATAGATAGATGATAGATAGATCAGAGAGAGACAGACAGACAGACACAGATAAAAACTGGCTCAGTGGAGGAGGAAGGAGGATCCAGAGGGATCCAGCCTGCGGGAGCTAATAGCCATGCTTGGCTTGAGTCTTCACAGCAAGGGCAAAATGGCTGCCCCAGATCAGAAGCCACTTTTGAGGGAAGGGAAACACAAAAGGCCTGAACGTGAGAGAGCAACACTCTTTAGCAAGAGGTCCTTGAAGCCCGAAAGGAGCACCACTGATCCTCTCAGAGAGATTCCCACTCTCTCACTTGCTGGCTCAGGAATTCTGGGAGTTGAAGTCCACAAGTCATAAAGGGGCCGCCATTTCCCCACCTCTGCTCAACAGATTTCCCTGCAGATTTCACCCGTTTCTCTCTCTCTCTCTGCAGGTGAGGCAGACCTGAGGAGCTTCTTGCGGATCTTCCTTGGCGAGCTGCAGCGGGGATTCTTTGAGAGGCACGTCTGGCTCTCCCTGTGGGACCGGCCCCCTCGCAGCCGCTTCACCCGGGTCCAGAGGGCATCATGCTGCTGCCTCCTCATCTTCCTCTTCCTCTGTGCCAATGCCGTGTGGTACGGGGTTGTGGCAGATGCCAACTTCAGGTGAGCCACCAGCATCGGACGTGCTCAAAGTGCCGGGGCCTTCTCTGCCCACCTGCACTGAAAGAAGAATCTTCCAGGGTCTCTGCACAAGGCTGGATGAAAGAGGAAAGAATAAAGGTCCAGAAACGCCGGCCTCAAATTGTTCTTCCTCTTCGGAATTCAATTTAGCCCTCCGGTTCCTAAAGGGGTGACTTTCCCATGCTCCCCTCATGGCCTCAGGAGACTGTGGCCTTCACTGACAGCAGTGAAGGCCACAGTGAACCTCCGTGAACCTCCCTCTGGGTCTTTTTGTGCCCCAGACACAGGAGGGCCTCCCCTAAGTTAGCAGCAATTACTCGCCTGCAGGGACCCCCCACCCCTTCAGTCCAACGGAGAGAGATACTGGAGCCCAGCTTGAGTAGTGCTGCCTTGCGTGGAAGGAAGATACAAGAAAGGCCCAAAGGTGCTTTTTCAAAAGGCAACTGGACTTGCCTTGTTTTTCCTTGAAGGCCTTTCGCTTCTCCTCCAGGAAGCTTCTTCAGTTCTTCAGACAGAACTAAAGAAGCTTCTTGAATAAGGAGCGAAACGTCTTCAAGGAAATACAAGGAAAGTCCAGCTGGGCTATCCGAGAGTCTCCATGGACATGAGAGAAGGACACTGGTTCTGGGAGGAAGAGCAGCAGGTGTCGGCCAAGGGGCTTCCTAGCCCAGAACCAGGCTCTGCACCATCTTCAAGCCTTTGAGTCCCATGCAGAGGGCTGTGCGCTCCAGACAGAGCAAGATTTACACCCATTTATTTTTAATGGATAAATCTTAATTTAAATTAAATCTTAATTTAAACTCTGCCATGTTTAATAATTCCCCCTCTTTGTTATATTAGACGTTCCAGCTTGCAGGACTGGCCTAGGGGAAAATTTTTAGAGGGGGTTTTAAAATAATTTTAATTAGACCAATTATTAATATTTGCCTTTTAATTAAGTTTTAATCTGTAGTTTGATATTTTGTATTTTTATCTGGTTGTTAGCCGCCCTGAGTCCGCAAGGAGAAGGGCGGGATATAAATATAAATATAAATAAATAAATAAATAAAAACTGTTTGTGGCAAATTTTGGCTGCTCAACAAGATCCTGAAGGAAGCCGGAAGTCTCTCTGCAAGCCTTGGTGTCCTTTCCTTTTCTCTGGGCATAACGGAAAAAGAGAAGAAGGGCAGGGGAAGGCAGCTGGGGGCCTCCTTCCCTCCTACTCGGTTCACAGAATTGACCCATTGGGCCTCCCTTCTCTGCAAAAGGGCTTTCCTGCTGTCTTGATCCCCACGTGCTTAAATCTAGACTGGTGCAACCTCAGGGCGGGATACTAAGTGTAAAACTCCCTGGGATTTTGGTTTTGTTTCCTCCTACGTGAAAAATCTCTCTTCTTAAAATTTATTGTTTTAATATAAAAAAGGAAAGAAACTGCAGGGAGAAAGAAAGACAAAAACAAAACTGTAGTATGTAATTTCCTAGTATATACAGGAAATTAAGCAGCTTCATTTTTAAACGTGTCATTAACAGAGCTGCCTGGAACAGCATTGATGGATCGATCTTTCCATTTCGTCCATACAGAGTCAATTCTTTTCAGAAACCCAATCTGTTTCAGTGATCCAAGTTTGTAAATCGGCAATTACACTATCTTTCTAGCATTAAATAATAATATTGCTATATAAATTATTACTTTTCATACAGTTAATAAAGCCAAAATGCTGAGCCCGGCTCCCAACATCTGAGCCACCCGTTTTATTCTCCCCACATAGTGAAGTTGAAAGATTCCCGAAAGAGCAGCTGTGCTCAGGTGCCCCCAGAAGCAGAAAAAGTTCCTTTCTCCCTAACCATGTAGAACACTAAACAGCATTTACATGAAAGCACCTTCTGCATTTTCTGGAATCTTAATAACAGGCAGCCAAACAGCTTCCAATTGACTTTTTTTTTTTTTGGTCTGTTTATAGTCACGTGCCCGTCTCCACCCTGATCCCGGTTAATGGCGAGACAGTCTTGGTTGGCTTGGTCTCCAGTTTGGTGGTTTATCCTCTTTACCTGGTTCTCCTGTTCCTATTCCGGATGGCACGGAGCAAGGTAACAATGGAAGACGGTCCATTTAAAACACCTGCAATGTGGAGTTCAGAATAGCTCCAAAGAATTTGGTTTAAGGGTTCCACGGTGCCCCCACTCTTAAAGATGTCCCAAAAGTGCTTTCTCAAAAGTCAGCTGGATTTTTTTCCTTGAGGATGTTTCTCTTCTCAGCCAAGAAGCTTCTTCAGTTCTGACTGAATGGTGGAAAAATGGAAAGGTTTATATTCCTTTCTAAATCCTTCCATTCTCCACCATTCAGTCAGAACTGAAGAAGCTTCTTGGATGAGAAGCGAAGCATCTTCAAGGAAAAACAAAGAAATTCCAGTTGCCTTTTGAAAAAGCACCCTTGGGACAACCATGACCTGAATGACCGAGAATCTCCATAGACAACCCTTACAGATACTTAGTTTCAGACGTTGCTCAGAGTTCAGTCTCCTTGGAAGAAAGTTGTTGGAATTTGCTGTCTTGTAATACTTGTACTTTCTGTTGTTGACTACACTGACACTACAGGAATCTCCAAGGACTCAACAGTTAAATTTTTATAGCAATTTTCCAGATTTTAAAATAGTGATGTTCCAATTGAAAAAGTATTTTTCCATTCTTTTGTAATGAGAAACTTGGCAGCTAAAAATAGCAATGGTTTTAATTTCCTATGTTGCATCAATTTTGATGCCTTGAAAAATAAGGGCAATAAACCAACAGCAGCAGCCACAGCATTCGTTATGAAAGATCTCAAGGTGATTTTTCCAACATTCTTCAAATATTTTTAACCTAAAGAAATACCTAACTGGGCACTGACATTGAAAATGATAATCTATGCCAGGTGGGTAATAAATCTTGTGTACACACTAACTACACGCGCGCGCGCGCGCGCACGCACACACACACACACACACACACATTGACATGAATTTCAAGAACTAGAATCAGGCTGCAGCATAAAATTGACGGAAGTGAAGGGGGTCTGTTTACACACACACACACACACACACACACAAAGTGAGAATCCCATCTAGGAATCATGTTAGCCTTCCAGGGATTTGAAGGACTTCAATCAATCAGAATAGAGCTGGAAGGGACCTTGGAGGTCTTCCAGTCCAGCCCCCTGCTCAAGCAGGAGAGTCTGTATCATCTCAGACAAGTGACTATCCAGTTTCTTCTTAAAAATCTCCAGTGATGGAACGTCCACGATTTCTGAAGGCCAGCTGTTCCACTGCTTAATTGTCCTCACTGTCAGGAAGTTTCTCCTTAATTCCAGGTTGCTTCTCTCTTTGGTCAGTTTCCAACCATTGTTTCTTGTCCTGCCCTCTGGTGCTTTGGAGAATAATTTGACCCCCTCTTCTTTGTGACAGCTCCTCAAATATTGGAAGACTACTATTATGTCCTCCCTAGTCCTCCTTTTTTCTAGACTGGCCATTCCCAAATCCTGCAGCCATTCTTAATACGTTTTAGTTTCCAGGCCTTTAATCATCTTAGTTGCTCTTCTTTGTACTTTTTCCAAAGTGTCAACATCTTTTTTGTAATGATGTGACCAAAGCTGAATGCACTATTCCAGATGTGGCCTTGCTAAGGCTTTATAAAATGGTGCTAACACTTTGATTCTATGCCTCTGTTTATATAATCAAGGATTGTATTAGCTTTTTTGGCTGCTGCTCCACATTGCTGGCTCATATTTAAGTGATCGTCCACTAGGACCCCAAGGTCCCTCTCACGGTTACTGTTTTTGAGCCAGGTTTTGCCTAATCTGTACTTGTACCTTTGGTTTTTCCTGCCTAGGGATAAAACCTTGCTTTTCTCCACATTAAATTTAATATTGTTGTTCAAGTCTGTCAAGTTCTTTTTGGATCCTGAGCTGGTCTTCTGGGGTGGGTACCTGCAGGGGACATTAGAAAAGACAAGATGTCAAAAATCAGCAGAGGGAGGGCTGGATATGAGCTTGCTAAGAGCCACTTCTCATTTGTGAGATGTGGGTCTGGAGTCTACAATCTGAATTGCAGGCTGCGCTAATAGAAATCTTTATAAACAAAATAACAACAACATAGGTATATAAGTTATAAGTCTACTGGCTCCATATAGAGAGACACTCTATCCCACATTTTGTTTAACAACTTCTGAAAGGACCTTTTTTTCTGGGAGTTTTATTTTCTGAAGACTGGAATGCTAACTAGCTTTGAATTCAAAGATGGAATTACCAGGGGGACTTGTAATATTATGTAACATTTCAAATACATGTTACAGGTCATAATTTATTCACTGTATGATAAATAGAAATATACAGAGATAACTATATCTCTGCTTGTTTTATAGAGAATTGGTGGTAGTGCTGCAAAGTGTTAAAAACAGAAAATGTCCAAGTTATTGCAGGATTCACATAAAAATTTATGGACATAGTAGTTAAATGAACATCACTCAGTGGATCACTAGGTATCACTTTCTAAAATTCCTAGGCTTCTGGGATTTAAGTGTGAAACTGATATAATTTCTTAGTGTTTTAATGCTAAGCCAAATATGTGTGAATTTAATCTTAAACGAATAGCCCTATTGGCCTTCTGTAAGGCCTCAAAGGTTTAGTTCTGTGCCCAGAGGTGTGATGGAGCCTGTTACCTGACTGTATGATGTTTTTGTAATTTTTTTTTGGTCAACTATGTGTTTTATGTTTCTATGTGGTTTTTCTATGTTTAATATTGTTACTTGCCAGGGTAATCTAACAAACAAGATTGTTAACGACAATCTCAAATAGATGAATAAGGAGAGAAAGCAAACTGAATGATCAATTTGAATCCACAAATGTGCCCTAAAGATTGAGAAGTGGGAGGGAGTCTCCCCCTCCCCCTATTTCTGTCAATCCTGGAAGTGGTTTCAGCCACCCTTCCCTTAGTTGGGGGCAGCCTCCAGGACTGGCCTTAACTCATCACACGCTACTGCTTGAGCAAGGGGCTGGACTAGAAGACCTCCAAGGTCCCTTCCAGCTCTACTCTACTCTACTCTACTCTACTCTACTCTACTCTACTCTACTCTACTCTACTCTACTCTACTCTACTCTACTCTACTCCACTCCACTCCACTCTACTCCACTCCACTCCACTCCACTCTATTCTACTCTACTCTACCCTACTCTACTCTATCTGAGCTCTGTGCTTGTTGGGTCTATCCGATGGGAAGAGCAGCTGAATTCCTGTTTGATGCCAACAGCCATCTTATTCACATCTCCGACTAGTTTGGCGGCAGCTTTGTGAATCATAAAAACATCAGTGATTAGTTTCCGGCTGGCTTTTCCCCACTCTTTCTTTTGAAACGGGTCTGAAGTGTCTTCTATGCAACTGAAAACAAGCTGATTGAGAGACATCTGGGGAGATTCTCAGCCATCCGGCTCACGGTTGTCCCAAAGGTGCTTTTTCAAAAGGCAACTGGACTGTCTCTGTTTTTACCTGAAGACGTTTCACTTCTCTTCCAAGAAGCTTCTTCAGTTCTAAGTCTAACCAGCGAAATGTCTTCAAGGAAAAAGGAAGTCCAGTTGCCTTTTGAAAAAGCACCTTTGGGACAAGTTGACTGAGAGGCAGATATAAATTTGCTTTCTGTTCCCCCAGCCCGGTGGTCCCAGCCCCCTCCCTCAAGCAGCCATCTCTCCTGCAGGTGAACATCAGCCAGTCTCTGGCCCATTCAGACCAGCAGTCCCTGGAGATTGACAACTACCTGGACTCATCGCTTCTGGAGAGCTCCTTCATCACTTTCCCTGGCCTTCGGACAGAGGTGAGGAGTATGAGGGCTTCCCCCTTTCTCTCCACGCCCACAGGCAGCCCCTTCCCGTTCCTGGGCCTCTTTTCTTCTGCCTCCTGCAGTGTTTCCTTGTGTTTGGCCAGGTCGCCATCTTCTCCGTGACCCTTTCGGAGATGCTTTTCCTGGAGGAGAGCAAAGAAGGAGCCAGGCATGATTTAGTTATTTAAGTAATTTTTATTAACGCCCCTCCCCCATCTGTAGTAAGGGACTCTGTAGTTATGAACCATCATAAAACAATTAAAAACAATTACAATGCAATGGAAAATTAATAAATATAGCAGTTGGAAAAAAACATAAAGCTATGAAACGGGGCCCTTCACATCCTCAGGGCCCCTGGGACGGGCGCAGAGTCAGGTCTTCAAGGCTTTATGGAAGCCCAACAGGGTTGGGGTCCTCCTCAACTCTGAGGGGAGAATGTTCCAGAGGGCAGGGGCTACGGCAGAGAAGACATGTCTCCTGTCCCCGTTCTTTGGCTGGAGGGACCCGTAATATGCCCAACCTGTCCAACCAAACTGGACTGCAGAAAACACCGGGAGAAAACGGTCTCTTGAGTAACCTGGTCCCAAGCCATGAAGGGAACACACGGGACACACAGGCAACCGATGTAGCTCACGTAATAGTGATGCTACTTGTGTCAAATATCCAACACCAATTACTACTTGTGCAGCTGCATTTTTGTATCAGTCGAGACTTCCAAATGCTTTCAAGATAAGATAAGAGAACCTTTATTGTCACTTTCTTCTGTGAACACAGTGGCACACATTAAAAAAATGAAATTCTGATGCCCGTTTTTGAAAGAAAATATAGATATATACCTATCTTGAGTTTGGTGCACCCTGTCGGCCCAAATATGGGAGAAAGGAACATGCAGACAGCCCAGGTTCAAATCTCAGAAAGGTATGTCTGGTTGAAAAGAACTAAAAAGTTCGAAATGGCTATTCCAGTTCTCCCTTAATTCTTTGTTAGCAATCCAAATTTTGAAAAACACATATAATGTCTCAGTTGCGACTGCTAAGCCTGTGGATGGCTCTAGTTTGAGCTGATACAGGCAAAAGATTCCTTTCTCCCATATTTGGGCCGACAGGGTGCACCAAACTCAAGATAATTCTTCTCCCCTGTCTCATAGCTGACAAAGTGAGAAAGAGCCTGTGATCTAGAGGTTAATACATCTGCCTAACATGCAGACAGCCCAGGTTCGAATCTCAGAAGGGTACGTCTGGTTGAAAAGAACTAAAAAGTTCAAAATGGCTATTCCAGTTCTCCCTTAATTCTTTGTTAGCAATCCAAATTTTGAAAAATATATACCTATGCACACAGTGGTGGGATTCAGCCAGTTTGCACCAGTTTGTTGCCCAAGCCCAGAATGGACTTCCGGAAGCGGCATCCACACAGAGAACCGGTTGTTCACGTATTTGAATCCCATCACTGCATGCACATACATGCACACACATACATATGCTATACACACACACAAACACGCATATATTAATCACAGTCCATTTTGAAAACAGCAGAAAAAAGAGTCTTGAGAGTTAATATGGTACAAAGCTATTACTGAATCTAGTTGTAACAAAGAAAACCGGTCATGGAGAGGATGTGTAGCGTCCCAGACAATACTGCGGACCCTGGTCAATCAGCGCTTGCATGCCGTGTCCTGGATAGAAGGTGAACTTCCAATCATCTTTTCTGCTGTCCTCACCACTCTCGGCACCACCTTCCTTTCCGAAACAGTAACAGCTCCAAACCAGACAGTCAACCAACACGACAAGATGCGTTCCATCGTCCCTCTGTAGAAAAGGCATCTCAAGGACAGCCAATGGGCTGAACACTTGTCCCTTTCCCTCTCTCTTCCTTTATAGGCTTTTTCAGAGGAAACCAAAACCGATCTGATGCTGGACGATTCAAAAAGGTACTGTAGGTCCTCGGCTTCTCTTTGCTGTGGTAGGCAACCTTGGCTCTTTTATGACTTGTGGACTCCAACTCCCAGAATTCCTGAGCCAGCCATGCTGGCTCAGGAATTCTGGGAGTTGAAGTCCAGGAGTCATAAAAGAGCCAAGGTTGCCTATCCCTGTCTTTAGGAACAGCTTAGCTTCTTAAGAACAGCCAAACGTGGCTCAGTGCTGCCACCTGCTGTTTGCAAGTAGAGTTTAGTCCAGTGGTGGCGAACCTATGGCATGGGTGCCAGAGGCGGCACTCAGAGCCCTCTCTGTGGGCACGGGCGCTGTCGCCCCAGTCCTGGGCCTTTAACTGGGTTTTATAAAACCTTTTCGCTTTAGGCCTCTGCCGCCATGTGCAAAAAAAAAAGGTTCAATCAATCAGTCAATTTCAACTTCTCGCGGGGGAAAAAAAGATCTTGCAAAGTTGGAATTGATTGATTGAACTTTTTAGTCCCACCCAGTCTGCCGTTACCACCGCAGCCACGCCCACCCAATGGGCCACACCCACCCAATGGGCCATAACCACCCGGCACCTGAGGATGCATAAGTGGGTTTTGGGTTGCAGTTTGGGCACTCGGTCTCTAAATGGTTCGCCATCACTGGTTTAGTCATTTGGGAACAAGGCTGGAAAAAGTAGTCCTGGACTGTAGTGAGCCCAGAATTATGGTGATAAGTCGTTGTGGTTGTTAAACAGGTCACCACATGCCCATGCCCAATTTTACAACTTTTTTTTGGTAGTGGTCTTTAAGTGAATGCGGCAGTCATTAAGCAAATCTCTTTTATCCAATGGGCGTTTTTTGCCAGAAATCAGAAGTAAATGCTGGAAACTGGCAAAAAATATTGAAAACCGTGGCCATGTAGCCGCAGGACACTGCAAACAGCCACAAAGTTATGCTGGTTGCCAAATGCCCAGTGGAGGAGGGGGGGTGGCCATCAGAACTTAAAAATCGGGTAGTAAGTGCTTTTGGGGGGCGGGTTCCCTCATAACTTTGAAGGTCATTAAGTGACCATTTGTAAGTTGAGGACTACCTGTACAAATCTTGAGACCGGATTTGGAGGAAGGGGGGAAGCAGCCAGAGAGCTGTAGGTGGAGAATTTGGGCTCAGCTTCCCTCTGTTCAATTCCCTCCTTCAATTCAATTCAGCCTGATCCGGTGGCAGTCCAATGAGGGCCTCCTCAACTGGCCAGACCTGCTCAGCGACCCCTCCATCATGGGCAACACCATCCAGAAGCTGAAACGAGGGCGGACCAGTCGTCACCTCGGCCTGGAGGCTCCTTTGGCCCCTGAGGGGGGGGACGGCCTGACGCCGGCCTTTCCCCAGGCCCAAGCCAGATACTTCTCTGCTTCCGGTGAGGAGGGGGTGCAGAAGCCACAGGAGTTTGCGGAGGGCTCGCAAGGGACTTTGAGGTCCGGTGTAGAATTGCCCCTTGGATCTGGGCTGCCCAGACGGGGACCCTGTGTGAAGAATCGGAGGGCTTTTCTTGAGGCCGTGAGAGGAGGAACAAGAGGTTCTCTGACAGGTTCTCAGGGTATCTGCAAGGTGGTCTGAGGCTCTGTCAGATTTTTATGGGCCTCCTGTGAGTGGTGCACAATACAAATGGGCAGAACCTTGATTGCACCATCTTGCCTTTCTTTGACCACACTCTGGAGGCCCCTCAGAGGCAGGATATCTCTGCATTAGAAAGCGCTTTGCGGTGTAGAGCCAGGAAAAACTCTGAGCTCCATGTGTTATTCACACTCAGCGCAAAATCAAGGCTTTAAAACACTGGTTTGTTGAACCTCGCTAAGCCAAATCAAGCCGTTTTGAGTGCAGTGGGCCTTCCTGTTTCGCCTCGACCTGCCCAGGGCTCCCAGAGTCCTCAGGAGGGGGATTTCCCCCCTATTGGAAGGCCAGGCCCAAACGTGTCAGCAGTTCTCCCCCCAACCTCTTGGGCTGGAAGGAAGGGAAGGAGGGAGGATACTCTGACTGGGATGACAGTGGCAACAAGAGGACCTTGAAGAGCAGCTTGTGCCGAGGAGACCTGCTCAAGTTTCTTGATTTGTTCTCCCCCCGTCACAAATTTCCCATAGGGTTTTCCATGCAGGGCCCAGAGAGGATGGCCTGCCCCTCCTCCCTGTGGGTGGGGGGAGGGCTCCCTTCCCAGCAATTTGCGGTGCGTTCTGTTGGCACGGTGGAACGCTTGGTCTTGGGAACCCATTGGGAAGACGGGCCATGCCCCACACTCCCTCCACAACACCCATCAGAGGTACCATCCGCCCTGAGAACTTGGTTTGTTCTTCCCATAACAGATGAAGATCTGATACGGCAGATTCTTGCAGATGGAGCTGGTGGCATCCCTCATCTTCAGGAAGTGGGAAACGGCCCCAAGGTTGAAACAGACCTCCTCTCTGGGCTGTAAGTCTATGGGGAGGGAAAGAGGTATATGGGGGGGGGGGGAAGCTCTCAAGAGTACCCCCTCCCATTCCTCTGGGCTGAGTTTGTGTGTGTGTGATGCAACATATGCAAAGGGGGTGGTGCATTGTGTAGGGTTTTCTTCGGCTGGCTTGCCTTGGGCCTCCCACCTGGTGAACCAGGAGGAATCTGGGCTGAGAGGTGAGTGGCTGCACCTGAAAAGTCTTAGTTTCTTCCCGCCAATATTTGAAGGCGTTTCAACATTAAATTGTTCCGGTAGGTCAAACGTGCCAGGAGACAAGATGGAAGCGATCGTGTTGCAGAGGCTGAACGAGAAAGGCCAGAGCGTGGCAGTCCCTGGGCGGGAACTGAATCATTCCGCCAAGTCAACCCGAACAGGTAACCTCGTCCTGGCCATGGGACCCGCCTCAGGCCTCCCACGTCCCTTCTGAGTGAAGCCTGCAGAGACCTGGAGCTTATAACTTCCAGGAGTCTCACAGTTGCCTTCCTGGTGGGATTTTAGTGCCAAGACGCCTGGAGGTCGATGGGAGCATCCTGGCTTGAGAACTGTCCTCCAGCAGCCGAGATGGGTTGGGCCTTTTCCTGAATAGCATCTGTTCCCCTCTTCCTGCAACTCAGTTGTGACTGTTTTGCTGTTCTGCCTCCTTGTTAAATAAACCCTAACTCTACATTCTTACCCTGGGTGGGGCTTCCACAAAGTTAAGGATCAACTCTGCACACCTTTCGTGTATTTGTTGCATTCCGGTGAGGACACTGAAATACCCCACGAAAACAATTGGGTGCAGTCTTTAGATTCCTGCAGGCCTCGTGAAGGCATGAAGGCTCTGCTAAGTGTGGCTCTTGCACTCCTGCGCCGGCTGGGGAATTGCGCCAAGATTTACCTTCCCACCCCATTTCTTGCCTGCAGTGGTGGACCACAGTCTCCGGAAGCGCCTGCTGCCCTCTTGGTGCTCCTACTTGGCACACGCCATCAGCGTCCTCCTCCTCCTCGTCTGCTTTGGGATCTCAGTGTGGATCGGAGTGGGGTTCAGCTCCAGCGTGGCCCTCATGTGGCTGATCTCAGGGATTTTTAGCTTCCTCTCCTCCTTTTTGCTCTGGGAACCCCTCAAGGTAAGTCCTGGTAGAAGACGAGACTTAGAAGACCACTCCAGGTTCCCTCCCCCACTCACTCTGGTAGTTGGTTCCTGTTCTCTCTGGCCACATTCCATTCCTTACCTCCCCCTCGTTTTCACGTTCCATCTTTGGTTTGTTTGTGTTGCTAAAATTGGAGTAGGCATCCAACAAATATTTCTGCCTGTTGTCTCCCACCTCCAAGAGAAACGGGGATGTCAAAATCGCTGTGGAGAAATTCTGCCTCAACTTGGCCTTCAGGAACCTGCCTGCAGCTCCTGGTTGGACCCGGTGGCTGAATTATTTGTGGATCAGCCTCTTTTGCCTTCTCCTTGGGAAGATCCAGGCTGGAAGGGCAGAGAGCCGGTTCTGTAAAGGGAGAGGAACCTGGACACTGGCACCATACGCAGGGATTGTTGAGAGCAGTTGCCCCTGGAGCGCTTCCCCCTTGTGGCCCAACACAAATTCAGGAGTGTCTGCTCAGAGCATTGTGGGCAGGAGGAGCTGTCCCTAGAATAGTAATAGGTTAGCCAGAAAAGAGGCCGTTGATTTAACTAACAGATATTCCCCTGAACCGGGGGGAGGGGGTTGCATTAGGCGATCTGCAACGTCACTCCCCACTCCAGGGCTCTGATCTTTGGCCTGCTCTGTCCCTGCAGATCCTCCTGGAAGCCCTTTACTTTTCCCTGGTGGCCAAGCGCCTGCACCCGGAGGAGGACGACACCCTGGTGGAGCATCCCTTTGTGGAGCACGTCTCGGAGAAGATTGGGAAGGTCCGGCCCCCTCAGGGCTTTGCTCTGTTCCAGGCCAAGGAGGAGGCCAGAAAGGTCAAGCTTCTGCACAACCTGCTCAAGGTGAGAAGGGGGAGGGTGCCAGCTGGGAGGGGGGGAGGGCAGAGCCCTGGGATTGTGCCCAAGGAGAGCAGGAGGAGGAGACGGGGCCTCTGAGGCCATCCCCCCTGGTGTCCTGCTTTAGAGGGGAGCCCGGGAGAGATCCCAGAGCAAAAGGTCCTTTCCCTGCCTGGCTCGGGGGCTGCTTTGGGCTCTTGTCCGAAGAGTGGCGAGTCCCTTTCTCTGCTCCTCCTAGAACTGCTTTGTCTACATGCTGTTCCTGCTGGTCATCCTCCTCACCAACTACAGTGGGCCTTCACACAACAGCCAGGCCTTTCTTCTGCAAAAGTCCATCAAGCAGCAGCTTGGCATCAGGCAGTTCCTGGATATTAAGAGGTATTTCTGCTGCCTGGTCTTGCCGTTCGCGTTTTTAGCTTTGTAGACATTTTGATGCTCCTCAACTGAACTTCACCAATCCCTTCCTAGAGCTCAGCAGTCCGCAGAATATTCTCCCTAACTTTGCAGGTGCCTTTAGAAATGTCACGCCCAAGAACTAAAGCTTGTTTATTAGAGGGCAAAAGATTGTCTGGGCCCTTGTCGGGGGCGGGAGTGGGGTTTCATGTCTGGAGGCAACACCGGTCACGCTTGTTCAAGAACCTTCAAGAACTGGGATGTGGATGGAGCAACCCTCTTGGCCCTCCTGGAACTTCCAGTGGCTGCAGTTAATCAGAGTAGGAGGCCTGATCTGTGGTGGTTCTCCTCCTCTCTCCGGCCGGCTCCAATTGGGACGGGAGGGGGGAGAGGATTCAAAGCGAGATGGACAAGCCTCACTATGTCCATAGAACAGCCCAGCGACCTGAGCTGCCCTGGTGGCCAGTTGGCTTCGGCCTGGCCTGACCCAGGCTCGGTATTTGAGGGACTGCCTGCCTCTCAGGCTGTCCGCCATCCTGTTTGCTCCCACAGGGCTGGCTGGCTTTGAGTCCGCCAGGGGCACAGCCGCTTCTAGCAGGACCCCTGGAGGCGACGTTCTCGGTGGAGGCACCTGCCCCTTGAGGCAGCCCCTTGGCCATCACCATGGCTTCAGTTTGTCCTCTTCAAGTGGTCCCTAAAACCCATTTTTCCCCCAGACCTTGAGTGAGGATTCATTGGTCAGGCTGGGAGGTCGTGTGGAGATCTGGCTCTTAATTGTTTCCTCCCAAGCTTGTTTGTAGGCTGGTTTTTGAACATACATACATTTGTTTCTTTAATCCTTTTGGAGTCTAGACAAACTGACCGACAAATAACACAAAGAAAAGCTGCCAGTGGATTGGGCCCGTGGGGGGGTTCGATCCATTTCAGCCTGCCTTGTGGAAGGACTGTCCCAGCTTCTCTCCCATGCAGATCCACTGAGAGCAGCCCCTGGGGGGGGGGAAGGCGGGTGTCACACCATTCAGGCCCCGAACTTCACCCCAGGCGGAAGGCTGGGCCGCCTTGCTCGACCCCAGGGGCAGAGCAGGCAGGCAGGGGGTTAGATCGGCTCTCTCGGGGCCAGAATCCAACGGCTGCAGTGGAGACCCCCTTCTGGGCCCAGGAAGAGTCCCCACTCCTTAATAGGAAGGCAAGGATGTGCAGCCCCAGCCGAGGGGGAGCTGGGCTTGGCAGGGGCTGGAGGGGCTTTGAAATTGGGACGAGCATCTTCCGGGCTGAGCACGGTCGCTCTCTCCTTTCCCTTCTTCATCGTGCTGGCGCAGATCGGATGACTTCTGGCTTTGGACCACGCAGGGACTGTTGCCCTTCTTGTACCAGAACCGGTCTGCCCAGGGAAGCTCAGGTATCACCCTGGGGGCCCCACGACTGCGGCAAATCCGTATGCAAGAAGGTAAGTGGGAATCGAGCGGGTCTTCATCTGTGTAGTGGTGAGCCCTGGTGCCACAGTGGTTGGAATGCAGTATTGCAGGCTGAGTCTGCCGACTGCCAGCAGTTTGGTCCTGATCTGCTCGAGGTTGACTCAGCCTTCCATCCTTCCGAGGTGGATAAAATGAGGACCCAGATTGTTGGGGTCAATAGGCTGTAAAACTGCTTAGAGAGGGCTGTAATGCACTGTGGAGCGGTATATAAGTCTAAGTGCTATTGCTATTAGTGATCGTGCACCACGTTCCGGGTGTGGAATAGAAATAATTGGTTTAAGAAACAAGGGCAGTTTCCTCCCTGCTCCAGTCTTATTGTGCCTGTCATCTTCTACCAAAGCCTGACTCTTCTCTGGATTGCTCAGATGCTCCGGACCGGATCTCTACAATATCTTGACCACGGACCCCCTGTTTGATTCCATTAATATGGAGCCTTTCCTGATATTTGGGCTGAATCTGAACATGATTTCTTACTAATTAATTTATTTTTTATTTCTGCACCACTGTCTCACCCATGGGACTCTGGGCAGTTTACAAATAAAAAGCATAAAAAGAGACACAATTTAAATATATATATATCAAAAGCAGAGTTAAAAAGACTTTAAAAGTTCAGAATTGCAAAAGCTAAAAAAGGCAGATGGAGCAGCCTCAAGGTTGCATGACACTCTTAGACCCCCAGGCTCCTAGGCATTTTCCCTCTAGGCCAGACAGAGGGGTCCCGCCTCTCCTCTGGGGCCCTCCCAACCAGGGACGCCCTTTCTCAGTCCTGCTAAAAGCCCAATGAAGTCCCCTCGCTGCTCGCTCTTGTGCGCGTGGCTGGAGGAGGAGAGCTGAGAATTATAAAGGGGTTCAGGAGAAAAGGTCCAATCAGGGGCATCACCCAGGCAGCTGAGCTCCGAAGGCTAAACAGGGATAGGAGAGCAGCAGAAAATCCCCCACAGTCCCACCTGGGAAGCTGAAAAAACCCCTGGATGTAAACAACAACCAGACACTTCTTGCCGAGTAAACAATACAAAATTGAGTGTGACTTGATGACCGGACCAAACTTGTCACGATTCAACATTTAGAGGCCTTTGGCTTGGATGAAGATCGAGTCTTCATTGACACGGTGTGACTTGATGGTTTTGTCTTTGGAGAAGACGACTCAGGAGCTGCAAATGTGCAGGTCCAGCAGAATAAACCATGGTGCCCCCCTTTTCCCCACAGAGTGCTTGAATTCGCTGGAAGAGGCCCTCGGAGGGACCAAGCGGAAATGCGCTTTCAGTTCCAGCAGCTTTGACACCGCCAGCTACGCAGCTGGCTGGAAGAGCCCCTCGGACGCCCTGGGGCCGCTCTGGAGCTCCTCTCCTCCTGACCTGGCTGGGTGAGTGGAGCCCTTCCCTTCCCTTCCCTTCCTTTCTCTCACCTGCCCGGGTAAGAAAGCATCCTCCATTTTGGGGTGACCATTTGGGCGTTTCCTTCTGACCTGCCGTCATCTGTGGTCCACCTCTTCTCCAAGAGCACAGGACAGATCGCATCTCAGTCCCTTGCACAGATTTCCCCATACAGATAGTCCTGGACTTACAACAGTTCATTTAGTGACCATTCAAAGTTACAACAGCACTGAAAAAAGTGACTTGCAGTATGACTGTTTTTCACACGACGGTTGCAGCATCCCCAAGGTCACGTGATCACAATTCGGATGCTTGGCAACTGGTTCATATTTAGGACGGTTGCATGTGCGTGCACGGATCCCCTTTTGTGACCTTCTGGCAAGCAAAGTCAATGGGGAAGCCGGATTCACTTAACAACCGGGTTACTAACTGAACAACTGCAGTGATTCACTTAACAACTGGGACAAGAAGAGTCGTAAAATGGTGCAAAATTCACTTTACAACCGCCTCACTTAGCAACTGAAATTTTGGGCTCAGTTTGGTTGTAAGTCAAGGACTGCCTATAGTGACAATCCAGTGAGAGGGTTTAGGTTATAGAATAGAATAGAGAGCTGGAAGGGACCTCGGAGGTCTTCTAGTCCAGCCCCCTGCTCAAGCAGGAGAACCTATACCAGTGATGGCGAACCTTTTGGAGACCGAGTGCCCAAAAACCGCCCCGCCCCCAGCCTGCCCCCACTCTGCTCCACCCTCACCCTGCCTGCTCTCAAGGCCATCCACGGCCCGCCGCAGATCACCCAGGTGGCCCTGCAGCACCATGGTGGCCATGCCCTCTGCCCGCACCCCGCAGCATCGTCTGCTGCCCAGCTGCCATGTGTTTGGCTGCACTGCTCTGCCCGGGCCGCACCCGGGGGTGACTCTCCTCTGCGGGGGCTGCTGATGAGGAGGGGGCTGCGGGAGGAGGCAGGGCTGGGGCGACGGCATGTGTTCCCACAGAGAGGGCTCCGAGTGCCACCTCTGGCACCCATGCCATAGGTTCGCCACCACTGGACTATACTATTCCAGACAAGTCCACTCTCTTCTTAAAAGCCTCCAGGGATGGAGCGCCCACGACTTCTGGAGGGAAGCTGTGGGGCGGAATGCAGCGTCAGGGTTGAACCTTCCAGATTATGCCAGGAACGAAAAGGAAGAGAGCATATTTTTTGTAAACCCTCTTGATCAAAAACAAGTCAGGGAAGGAGGAAGCAGAACTATCTCCTATTCAACATTTCTAACAGAGAAGCCAGTCAGTAGCAGGCAAGAGTCATTTCATTTCATTTCATTTCATTTTTCATTTTTCATTTTATTAAATTTATACCCCGCCCTTCTCCCGTAGGACTCAGGGCGGCTTACAGCCAGTTAAAAACAATTTAATACAATACAGTAGAAATTTTAAAAAATCATTAAAAATAAATATATAATCGGCCGCTACTACTAAAATTTGGCTAAAACCAATTTAAAATACCCCTAGGCCAGTCCTGCCCGCT